AGAGTGGTGCAGCAACCAAGGAGCAGCAAAAGGGTGAGGAGAACCCAGAGGCAGCAGCGGAGGAGGACTACGGAGAGAGTATGTGGGGCGCTATTGCGAGCGCGGCATTCTCCAATCCAACTTCGGCTACGGGGGAGTGTGATTGGCTCACCTTGCATCGGCGCATGGGGCATGTGGCCCTGCCCATCTTGCAGCAGCTAGTGAAGAATGAGATGGTTGCTGGCATACGTGTGAAGGGGGAGCCCGATGAGGTGCTTGGCTGCCCGACGTGCATTCAAGCCAAGTTCACCCGGTTTCCGTTCCCTAGTTCGGAGGCAACGGCAAAGGCACCGCTTGATGAGGTGGTGATGGACGTGGTGGGCCCCCTGAAGCTTGGAGCTGCTGGAGCTGAGTATTTTCTCACCATTGTCGACGTCTACACCCGCATGACTTGGGTGTACGTGCTGGCCAAGAAGAGCGACGTGGCTGAAACGTTGAAGACGGATTGGTTCCCGATGGTGGAGCGGCAACAAGACCGTCTAGTCAAGTCAATCCGCACCGATCGAGGGGGAGAGTTCCTGAGCAAGGAGTTTGGGTTGTGGCTGAAGAAGAATGGTATTCGGCACTCCCTCACCATGCCATACTCCCCTGCAATGAACGGCATCGCCGAGCGAGCGAACCGCACAATCACGGAGGCGGCACGCGGGTTGCTCATTGAAGCCGGGCTACCCGACTATTTCTGGCCTGATGCGGTGCGGAGCGCGTGTGTGGCCAAGAACAGAGCCTTGACTCATGTGGGAGCAGACAAATGGGTGCCCTATGTGGAGTGGCTAGGAAGGAAGCCAAAGGTGGATATGCTTCGGGTGTTCGGGTGCATGTGCATGGCGCTCGTGCCTAAGCATCTTCGGCACAACAAGCTTGGTGCCAAGGCGGTGTGGGCCGTGCACTTGGGCATGGCTCAAAACAGCAAGGGATGGCTTCTTTGGGACCCATTCACAAAGAAGTTCTTGGTGAGCAGGGACTGCAAGTTCATGGAGAACTTCATGTACAAGGATTGGAAGGCGGAGAATGAGGCGAAGATAGGCGTGCGGTTTGGGGAGGTGAAGAGTTCCGGTTTGGAGCATGTGGAGCTGCCTTTGGAGCTGAGCAGCGGCAGCACAACCACAAGGCAATCCTCCCTTGTGAATGGGGGAGAGGAGGCCAATGATGCAGAGGAAGAAGAGGAGGAGGTGCAGCAAGTGAGCGAGCGTGCACCGTCACTCCCTTCCCGTACTACGAGTGCTCCACGGATTCGAGCCACACCGCAGCAACGCCAAGGCCTTCAAGTCCCTGCAGCTGAGGAGGAAGGAAGGGGGAAGAGGAGAGTTCAACCCCCTAATAGGCTGACCTATGATGCGCCGGGAAAGCAGGGCAAGACAGCCCTGGCCGGAGCGGCAATGATGGTCGGAGACGACGAGGAGAGTGACTACGAGGAGTGTGCCTTCGCGTTCTTCTCTCCGGTGGAGATGCCGGGAGAACCAGCAACTCTCAAGGAGGCTTTGGAGAGTAGTGATGCTGAGGAGTGGAAGAAGGCCATGGAGAGTGAGCTGAAGAGCATCGAGGAGAATGACACGTTTGAATTGGTGGAGCTACCGGAGGGGCGTACGGCGATAACGTCCAAGTGGCTCTTCAAAATCAAATCGGATGCCGACGGCAAGATCGAGCGCTACAAGTCTAGGCTTGTAGCCAAGGGGTACCAGCAGAAGGAGAAGGTGGACTTCAAGGAGCTGTTTGCCCTTGTGGTGAAGCCGACGACGCTGCGAACCCTATTCGCGGGAGCCGCCATCAAAGGATGGGTAGTAAAGCAAATGGACATCGTAACGGCATTCCTTAACGGCATCCTTGAGGAGGAGATTTTTATGGCGCAGCCAGAGGGGTTTGATGATGGTAGTGGCAGAGTGTGGAAGCTGAAGAAGGCCCTCTATGGGCTGAAGCAGGCCCCTAGGCAATGGTACATGAAGCTGCGCGAAGTGTTGGAGGGGATCGGCTTCACTCCCTCAACGGCCGATCACTCCTTGTTCATGCTTGGCGAGGGGGAGCAGAGGAGTTTCATGGTGGTTTATGTGGATGACATCCTCATTTTCTCACCCTCTTCTGACCTTGTGAAGGAGGTGATGCTGAAGCTTCAAGACAAGTTCAAGTGCAAGGCCCTTGGTGACGTGAGCTTCTACCTTGGGCTCCACATCGAACGAGATGTGGAGAAGCGGTGCATGCGGGTGCATCAACGAAAGTACCTGGAGGCATTGGCTGCCAACTTTGGGCAGAGTGAAGGCCATGTGGCTACACCCTTTCCCTCTGGGTTCAAGTGTGTGAAGGGACCAGAGGAGGAGAGCGTTGGTGAAGAGGAGAGGCGCCGATTTCACTCGTTGGTGGGCAGCCTCATGTATGCGGCGGTAAACACCCGACCGGACGTCGCGTTTGCTACCGGGCAGCTGGCTAGGGTTGTGCAATGCCTTAATGAGGAGCAGGTAGCAGCTGGAATGAGGGTGGCCAAGTATCTTGGCCAAACACCGACCGTTGGGCTGCAATACTCGGCGGCGGCACAAAGGCGCCAAAAGGGCGCGGATGGTGTTGAACCCGGGCGTTTGTTCCTCACCGCCTACTCGGATGCTTCATATGCATCAGAACCAGAGGACATGACAAGTGTGGGAGGCTTCATATGCTGTGTTGGTGGAGGCCCAACTGCTTGGGAGAGCAAGAAGCAGGTTGACCAAGCTTTGAGCTCGGTGGAGTCCGAGTACATGGCACTCTTCCGTGCCGTACGGGAGATTGTGTGGCAGCGGCGTTTGTTGGCTGAATTGGGGGAGGAGCAGCAAGGACCTACCCCACTGTACTGTGACAGCCAGGGTGCCATTGCTCTTGCTAAGAACCCTGTGTTGCATGGACTCACGAAGCACATGAGGGTGAAGTGGCATTGGACGAGGAGCATGGTAACCGCGGGTGAAGTTGAGTTGCGCTACGTGAAGACCACGGGGCAGCCGGCTGACATGATGACCAAGAGGCTGGTGGAGCAGCAGCATTGGAAGTGTTGCAAGCTGGCTGGGATGGCTCTGAACTGAGAGAGCAACATATCCTAAGGCCAACAATCCGAGGGGGAGTTTGTTGGTGCAACCCTACGGTTTGCACTCGGCTTGTTGTCCGTGTGCGTGAATGTGTGTGTGTATGGAATGGTATGAGGGCATGGGATAATATATATTTCATGCTTATAATTGTGTGTGAATGTTGAGTCATGATGTCGAGTGTGTGTGTCGAGTCAATAGCGAGTTATCGCTAGACGCGTGTTACGCGGTCGTTTGTGTCTCGCGCGCGGTTTCTATTTTGTCGTGCGCGGTTTCTATTTTGTCCTGTGTCGAACGTTCGGCGTGTCGCAGGTGTGTGCAGAAGACCCATCAAGAACTCAAGGATGAGTTTGTGATAAAGAGCCCGAGCCTTGGTGTCAAGCCTCAAGTGATTTCGAAGCTTGCCAAAAGGGTACACCTCAAGATATTGAAGATAGTTACATTACTTTGTGTAGTGTAACATTTCACTTGGTGTAGGCCCTAGTGAAGGGTAGTTTCGAGACCCTTCGTGGTTGGGGACAGTGTGGCACTGTTCCACATCACTGTACCTCGGCTCTTGGGGTTTGTAGGAGCTGGGAGTCATTCCCAACTCGTAACTCTTCCTATCTTGTGTTCTAAGACTATAGTGGCTGCCATAGTACCGTTCGTTCAAACCGACGCTGTGTCGTCAATTCTTTATCAAATCGTGCAATCTAAATTGCTAATTGTAGACGACGTGAAGACGCTCCAGATCCAATTTGAATCAAGTCATTTGCATCTGTGAGCAGAACGCTATCAACGTTTGAAGCCGCTGTGCAGAAATCCGTCTGTGCTCTCTATCTTTCGTTTTAGGCACATTCAAGCCTATTGTGACTATAACAAATAGCTGGCCCATTCATCATGAGAAGGTACCTTAGTAGTCGTCATGACGCTGTTCTCAAGAAAAGGAGGATCGAGATAGCTCGGATACCAAATGAAACAGCCACTAAGCTGTTTTGGAAGAGTAGTAGTAGGAAGCGTTCTTTGGAGAATTTCAGAAAGATAGTAGCAAGATAGCTTTACAAAGATCATATGATGCCTTACATTTCAGAGATTCATCCTAATATACTAGGATACTAGCTATGGCACCTCGAGCAGGTCGCTCAGGTCGCCTTTCATATTCCTAGAGCTAAGAACAGCAAGGCATAGCATTTATTATTATGTACATAGCATCCTAGCCTTGTTGTCTAGTCCTAGAACCAATCAGCAAAGTCTAGGAAAACACGAATGTATTGGGCAGAGATTTCTGTGTCTTGTTGTCGTCCAAGTCGTCATTGATCATGATGAGTGTGAGCACTGCTGGAAGTAGTCATAGCTGTAGGGCCTTGTGCTGTCGAGTAATCTGCTGCGCTGTAGGTAGTTCTCTGCCCCGTTGTGTCCAGCACTAGTGTGCTCTCTGTACTTAGTTCCCACGGTTGGAAACTCAGAAAGTCGGGTCACACATTTCAATGTTGGAGTTCCAACATTGAATTCCCGAAATGCACTTAGGGTGTGTTCCGAAATCTGGTTCGGATAATAAGGAGCTAAGTTGGCGAAATCGTGGAAGGCGAGATCGCCTTCGTCTTGTTACAATGTTCCAAGTAGGATTTTGGCTCTGGGTTTTTTCGGATGACATGCTCTGCCGCTCTAGAGTTCTAGAGCTCGTGACGAAGATGCTCAGCGAGTCAGCACCGTCCTCCTCGCCTGCCTGCTTTGGCTTGCACTGAAGCGCCCCTCGCCGCCGCTCCCCTCGCCTCCCCTTCCCTCGCCACCTGTCGCCTCGCCTCGCCACTCTCTCGGAGATCGAGCGCTGGCCACGGCCTTAGCGAGCGCCGTCCACAGGCGGCAGTCCGCGCAGCACGCGCGGAGCAACACTCGTGCAGCAGGAAGACGTTTGCCCGCAGTTGCGTGCGCGCCTCAGTGCCCATGCCGTACTTGCATACGTGTTCCACCATGGCGCGCACTGCATCCACAGCGGCTATCAACGGGAGCGGCCTCTTCTGGCCGCGCGGCAGTGTTGGTGCTGGCGGTGAACGGGCGGCGCGTGGCGGTGCGCGACGTGGATCCGCGCATGTCGCTCGCCGAGTTCCTCCGCACCCGCAACGCGCTCACTGGCACCAAGCTCGGCTGCGGGGAAGGTGCGCGCTCCTGGGGATGCGGGGAAGGTGCGCGCGTGTGGGGATTCGGGGAAGGTGCGCGCTCCTGGGGCTGCGTTGAAGGTGCGCGCGTGTGGGGATGCGGTGCCCCTGGGTTGCGTCCTTGAACTTGCCTTATCTCATGCCTGTCTTCGCCCCTCCCCTGAGCACACCTCGTTTCTGCCTCGAGGACATCCAAGGTGCGCCCTCGCCTCTCCCCGCGGCCATCCCTGACCGCTCTCACCACCGCACGCCTTACGACCTCTCCCCTTGCCTCCCCCTCTCCCCCCTCACCCTCTTCTTCCCCCCTGCCCCTTTCATCTACCCCTCCCTCCCCCCCAGACTCGTCTCCCAAGAGGGTACGGAGCGTGTGCAGTGATGGGAGCGCGCTACGACCTGCTCACCCATACGGTGGACGACCGTCTGCTCAACGCCATCCTCTTCCCTTGCTTCCCTTGCCTCCCACCCCCCCCCCCCCCCCCCCCTCACCCCTCCCTCTCCCGCCCCTCACACGACGCGCCCAGATGGGTGCGGGGCGTGTGCAGTGATGGTGACGCGCTACGAACCGCTCACCCACACCATCGAACTGCTCGCTCAACGCCTGCCTGCTATCGCTCGCCTCGCTGCACCTCGACGCCGTCACCACCGAGGATCTGTGCCACTTGTCCCCGCCAACCCATGCAGAGCGGAGCTCCCCTCGACATGGCTGCACAGCAGCAGCGCGACCAGCACGTATGGGCGGTGGTGCCTCACGCGGTGCAGCAGCGGCTGGCGGGGTTCCACGCGTCGCAGTGCGGCTTCTGCACGCCCGGCATCTCCATCGCCCTCCATGCTGACCTGCGCTGCCACCGCTCCCGCAGGCGGTGAGCATGCCATTGCTGTCCCTGCTGCTGCTGCTGAAAGTTCCTGTGTTGCCGCTGTTGCTGCGGCTGCTGGTGGAGCAGCGGGTGGTGGAGTGGAGGTGGTGGAGGGGGTGTCAGAGGAGGAGAAGGAGCAGGCGATGCCAGGCAACCTGTGTTGCTGCACAGGGTACCTCCTCATCATTGTCGCCTGCAAGAGCTTTACTGGTTGCCGCACTAGCAGCGTCCAGGTGCAAGTGGAGGTGGTGCAGCGGGTGCAGGGGGCACAGCAGGGTGCGCAGCAGGGGGCGCAGCAGGGGGCGCGGCAGGGGGCGCTGCAGGGGGCGCAGCAGGGGGCGCAGCAGGGGGCGCAGCAGGGGGCGCAACAGGGGGCGCAGCAGGGGGCGCAGCAGGGGGCACAGCAGGGGGCGCAGCAGGGGGCGCAGCAGGGGGCACAGAAGGGGGCGCAGCAGGGAGCGCAGCAGAGGGTACAGCAGGGGGCGCAGCAGGGGGCGCAGCAGGGGAGCTGATGAACGAGGAGGAGGCGGGGTCGTGCTGCTGGGCGTGCTGCTGCAGCTGCAGGGGAGCGGGCATGCCGGGTTGTGGGGCTCAGCGAGTTCGCGCTGCGTGCACCTACTAGGGCGCCAGGGAAGGGGGGTGCAGTGGCGCAGCGGGGCACCGAGTGCAGCAACCCATGCATCGCTGAGTGCAGCAACCCACGCATCGCTGAGTGCAGCAACCCATGCATCGCTGAGTGCAGCAACCCATGCCTCGCTGAGTGCAGCAACCCATGCATCGCTGAGTGCAGCAACCCATGCATCACTGAGTGCAGCAACCCATGCATCGCTGAGTGCAGCAACCCATGCATCGCTGAGTGCAGTGGGGTGTGCAGCGCGCCTAGCAAGCCCCTCCCATGCTACAATCCCCTCTGTGACCCGCCCTTCCCCGCGTGGCTCAAGGTGGAGTCGAAGCAGCACACCAGCAGGCTGCAGGGGCACGCACGGAGGGAGGTAAGATGCTTGTGTGGTCACCCGCCCCCTTGAGCTGCTCTAGCCAGCCACGTGTGTGTCAATGGTGGGGGGGGGGGGGGGGGGGGGGGGTTGGGATGAGAGGGGAATGTGGAGCGGTTGGGGATGGGAAAGAGATGGGGATGAGAAGGGGGGGGGAGTGTTGATCAGGATCCGTCACTTTGAGAGCTTACGACGAACTCATTTCTCAACTAAACGCAAATCCGCTCGGTAGGATTGTGCGCCTTAGGCTTAGCTACCATCTCCAATTTGAATCACTTAGAGAGATGGTCTAGAGAGTGAGAACGACTTAGAAACGTCCAGCAGCCGCATGACTAGAATGGTGGAGGAAGTACAAACATTAAGGCATAGGAAGTTGGAGTTGGGGACTCCAAGAGAACCATGAGAGGGAAGGGGTTCTCCAAGAGCTAGGGAAGGATTGTAGGAACCTTCCTAGCAGCAAGGATGCAACCCTCATCATGAGGTCCTTGAGGTGTCACATGCAAAATCCAATCTAGTTGGATTTTGCCTAGGTGTTGCAACAATTGCAACCCATGCTAGAAACTTCTAGCCACCCCAATCCAAAAGTCAAATTTGGCTTCCTAACCAACAAACTCCCCCTCAGACTAATGGACTGCATGCACACACACTCACACACATGCACTCATGACACTGCTGCCCACACTAGTGCAATGCCATGCCACACATCTTAGCACATTTCCAATGTGCGCTCTCGGGAAGTCTCTTGGTGAGAAAATCTGCCGCCTGCTTGCTAGCCTTCACATGGTGAAGCTCAACAATCCCCTCCTTCACCATATGCCTCAACCAGTGCCACTTAATCTTCATGTGATTGTTCAGCCCATTCAGGATAGGATTATTGGCCATGCCAATAGCAGCCTCGCTGTCGGCGAAAAGCGGTGTAGGTCCTTCCTGTTCAGCTCCCATGTCCTCCAGCAGCTTCCTCAGGAGCACGATCTCCTTGATGGCATGGTACGTTGCCATATACTCTGCCTCTCCGGAAGACTGAGCAATCCCACTCTGCTTCTTGGACCTCCAGCTCACTGGTCCACCTCCGACCATGCACACAAAGCCGCCAACTGATGACTGATCCTCCTCCTCTGAGGCCCATGTGGCGTCGGTGAAGCACGACAGCTTCAAGGTTCCAGGCGTGATCCCATCTGCTCCAATCTGTTTCAGCTGGCCGCCAGCTGAAAACTGAACACCAGCAGATGCCGTTGATCCGAGGTAGCGCACCAAGCGCTTTGCCACCTCCAACTGCTCCTCAGTGGGCCGCTGCACAACTCTGGCCAGCTGCCCCACTCCGAATGAAGCATCAGGTCGCGTATGCACAGCTGCATACATCACACTCCCAATGAGTGACTGGTACTCATTCCGCTACTCATCCTCAAGCACATCATCCTCCTCAGCTGCCTTCTTCAGTTTGAAGCCTGCAGGGAACGGTGTCGTCACAGTGCGACCCTTAGTCACACCATAGCGCTCCATGACACCAGAGATGTAGTGTGACTGATGCATCTTCAACCACCTCCTCTCAACATCCCTCTCAATCTGCAGCCCCAAGTAGTAGTGGACATCCCCCAGCATCTTGCACTTGAAGTTGTCCATCAGCAGCTTCTGAGTCCTCTCAATCTGCTCCATGGAAGGTGAGAACAATAGTATGTCGTCGACATACACTAGCAGCAAGAGCAGTTGCTCCCCCTCTCCAAGCAAAAACAAACTGTGATCCGCTTGGGACGTCTTGAAGCTTCCACTCAGCAGCACCTCCTCCAGCTTCTCGTACCAGCACCTGGGCGCTTGCTTAAGGCCATAGATAGCCTTCTTGAGCTTGCACACCCGGCTGGTCCCATCCTCATAGCCGTCGGGCTGCGCCATGTAGATATCCTCCAGCAGCACTCCATTGAGGAACGCAGTGGTGATATCCATCTGCTTCACGTGCCATCCCTTCACAGCTGCGCCAGCCAGCAAAGTCCTTAGTGTCACTGGCTTAGCAACGGGAGCGAAGATCTCCCCGAAGTCGACCTTCTCTTTCTGCTGAAACCCCTTGGCGACCAAGCGGCTCTTGAACCGCTCCAACGCACCATCAGCTCCACTCTTCACCTTGAAGACCCACTTGCTGCTGGCCGCGCGGCAGTGCTGGTGCTGGCGGTGAACGGGCGGCGCGTGGCGGTGCGCGACGTGGATCCGCGCATGTCGCTCACCGAGTTCCTCCGCACCCGCAACGCGCTCACTGGCACCAAGCTCGGCTGCGGGGAAGGTGCGCGCTCCTGGGGATGCGGGGAAGGTGCGCGCGTGTGGGGATTCGGGGAAGGTGCGCGCTCCTGGGGCTGCGTTGAAGGTGCGCGCGTGTGGGGATGCGGTGCCCCTGGGTTGCGTCCTTGAACTTGCCTTATCTCATGCCTGTCTTCGCCCCTCCCCTGAGCACACCTCGTTTCTGCCTCGAGGACATCCAAGGTGCGCCCTCGCCTCTCCCCGCGGCCATCCCTGACCGCTCTCACCACCGCACGCCTTACGACCTCTCCCCTTGCCTCCCCCTCTCCCCCCTCACCCTCTTCTTCCCCCCTGCCCCTTTCATCTACCCCTCCCTCCCCCCCAGACTCGTCTCCCAAGAGGGTACGGAGCGTGTGCAGTGATGGGAGCGCGCTACGACCTGCTCACCCACACGGTGGACGACCGTCTGCTCAACGCCATCCTCTTCCCTTGCTTCCCTTGCCTCCCACCCCCCCCCCCCCCCCCCCCTCACCCCTCCCTCTCCCGCCCCTCACACGACGCGCCCAGATGGGTGCGGGGCGTGTGCAGTGATGGTGACGCGCTACGAACCGCTCACCCACACCATCGAACTGCTCGCTCAACGCCTGCCTGCTATCGCTCGCCTCGCTGCACCTCGACGCCGTCACCACCGAGGATCTGTGCCACTTGTCCCCGCCAACCCATGCAGAGCGGAGCTCCCCTCGACATGGCTGCACAGCAGCAGCGCGACCAGCACGTATGGGCGGTGGTGCCTCACGCGGTGCAGCAGCGGCTGGCGGGGTTCCACGCATCGCAGTGCGGCTTCTGCACGCCCGGCATCTCCATCGCCCTCCATGCTGACCTGCGCTGCCACCGCTCCCGCAGGCGGTGAGCATGCCATTGCTGTCCCTGCTGCTGCTGCTGAAAGTTCCTGTGTTGCCGCTGTTGCTGCGGCTGCTGGTGGAGCAGCGGGTGGTGGAGTGGAGGTGGTGGAGGGGGTGTCAGAGGAGGAGAAGGAGCAGGCGATGCCAGGCAACCTGTGTTGCTGCACAGGGTACCTCCTCATCATTGTCGCCTGCAAGAGCTTTACTGGTTGCCGCACTAGCAGCGTCCAGGTGCAAGTGGAGGTGGTGCAGCGGGTGCAGGGGGCACAGCAGGGTGCGCAGCAGGGGGCGCAGCAGGGGGCGCGGCAGGGGGCGCTGCAGGGGGCGCAGCAGGGGGCGCAGCAGGGGGCGCAACAGGGGGCGCAGCAGGGGGCGCAGCAGGGGGCACAGCAGGGGGCGCAGCAGGGGGCGCAGCAGGGGGCACAGAAGGGGGCGCAGCAGGGAGCGCAGCAGAGGGTACAGCAGGGGGCGCAGCAGGGGGCGCAGCAGGGGAGCTGATGAACGAGGAGGAGGCGGGGTCGTGCTGCTGGGCGTGCTGCTGCAGCTGCAGGGGAGCGGGCATGCCGGGTTGTGGGGCTCAGCGAGTTCGCGCTGCGTGCACCTACTAGGGCGCCAGGGAAGGGGGGTGCAGTGGCGCAGCGGGGCACCGAGTGCAGCAACCCATGCATCGCTGAGTGCAGCAACCCACGCATCGCTGAGTGCAGCAACCCATGCATCGCTGAGTGCAGCAACCCATGCCTCGCTGAGTGCAGCAACCCATGCATCGCTGAGTGCAGCAACCCATGCATCACTGAGTGCAGCAACCCATGCATCGCTGAGTGCAGCAACCCATGCATCGCTGAGTGCAGTGGGGTGTGCAGCGCGCCTAGCAAGCCCCTCCCATGCTACAATCCCCTCTGTGACCCGCCCATCCCCGCGTGGCTCAAGGTGGAGTCGAAGCAGCACACCAGCAGGCTGCAGGGGCACGCACGGAGGGAGGTAAGATGCTTGTGTGGTCACCCGCCCCCTTGAGCTGCTCTAGCCAGCCACGTGTGTGTCAATGGTGGGGGGGGGGGGGGGGGGGGGGGGGGTTGGGATGAGAGGGGAATGTGGAGCGGTTGGGGATGGGAAAGAGATGGGGATGAGAAGGGGGGGGGAGTGTTGATCAGGATCCGTCACTTTGAGAGCTTACGACGAACTCATTTCTCAACTAAACGCAAATCCGCTCGGTAGGATTGTGCGCCTTAGGCTTAGCTACCATCTCCAATTTGAATCACTTAGAGAGATGGTCTAGAGAGTGAGAACGACTTAGAAACGTCCAGCAGCCGCATGACTAGAATGGTGGAGGAAGTACAAACATTAAGGCATAGGAAGTTGGAGTTGGGGACTCCAAGAGAACCATGAGAGGGAAGGGGTTCTCCAAGAGCTAGGGAAGGATGGTAGGAACCTTCCTAGCAGCAAGGATGCAACCCTCATCATGAGGTCCTTGAGGTGTCACATGCAAAATCCGATCTAGTTGGATTTTGCCTAGGTGTTGCAACAATTGCAACCCATGCTAGAAACTTCTAGCCACCCCAATCCAAAAGTCAAATTTGGCTTCCTAACCAACAAACCAAAGATCCCTTTTATAGTCATGTCCCAATAATCGCCCAATGTAGATAACATCTCAAAATGAGATAGAATTCCCAAAGCTTGGAAATCTTGTAACTTGGGCGATCTTGGTCAGAATAAGGCGATCTTGGTATCGTTGGAAAGCACTGGATTTCTCCTGCATGATCAAGTATTTAAACTTGGAGAAAACACAGAGATGATAATATCCAACAGCCATGCACAATGACATATGCTCATGCAAACAATGCACGCATGAATAGCACGAGCACTCGGCAGGACGTTAGGATGACATGCACTCAGAATGACGTGCATCCAACAGGGAGTGGGGACGGGCTTGGCTTGTGAGGCAACAGAGGGAGGTTGGTATAGGTGGAGCATATGAAGATAAGGGGGGGTCCAGAGGTATTTCATCATTTCAGAGGGGATTGACAGGGATGGTGGCGGCATGGTGAGTGGATGAGATGTGGGGGGTTGCTGTTGAATAAAGGTGCGATCTGCAATGCAAATACTGGTTCTGGCAGAAACCTCACCTGCTAGCAGCACTTTTGATGCAGGCATGCACACAGACATACATGCCACATGCCCCTCTCACCATGCCCCTCTCACATGACCCACTCACCATGCCCCACTCACCATGCCGCCACTCTTCAAACACTCTGTTCTTTCCTACTCTTCTTGGCTAACCACTCACCCTCTTCCCCTACCATTCCTCCCCCTCCACACCCCCACCCCCCCACCTTCCCTATGCTCTTCTTCTCACCCATCTCCCCAAATCCCCCTCCTCCCACCACCAGGTGGCAGTGGCATGTGCGCTGGCAGCGCAGTGCCATACACCACCGGGTGCGCATGGCACTGGACCGCAAGGTGCCTCACACGCGGGCGCCACGAGACGTGCTCACGGTACGACGTGGGGTTTGGCGGCGCAGGGCGCATGCAGACGGTGCTGAACGGCAGCAGCAGCGGCAGCACGAGCTGCCAACTACGAGCCCGCCCTCGCGCAGTATGCCTAGGGAACGCTGGAGATTGACTTCGGGGTGGTTAGGTGTGGTGGGAGGAAGAGGCGGAGTACGGTGGAGTAGGGTTTGGTGGAGTTGGGAGGGGGGGCGGCCATGTGGATGGGGGGAAGCCATAGAGGGAGATGCGAAGGATTGGGAGGAGGGTGGTTGAGGGATGGGTGGGTGTTATCTTAATGCCACTCCTCTCCTTTCTCCTCCTTAACTGACAACCAATTTTCTTCTGTTTCCACATCCCTCAAACGGTGAACAGTCAAAATGCGTGCACTTAAACGTGAGGCAAAACCGTAACTAACGACCGCCAGTGTGATCCAGAAGGGAGCCTAAAAGGGGCTTGTAGGAAGTGGAAGGGACAGCCACCCCTCATTCTCTCCTCCAGACTCCCTCGCCTCTGTTGCCCATCGGGACGGACCTGCCTACGCACAGCACAGTGAGGGCGCCAGGCCATGTGCAGGGCGTGCTGGTGGCGTGCTGGTGGCGTGCTGGTGGCGTGCTGGTGGCGTGCTGGTGGTGGAGAGCTTGTTGGCCATGTCATGTCATGTCATGTCATGTCATTCGTTCCACTTCCAATCCAGCACATTGAGGGCGCTCCAATGCCTGTCCCCCTCTCTTGCCGTCTCACCTCCTCTCTCATCTCCTATTCTCTCCCCCTCCCTGGCCACACTCCCTTTCATACTGCTCCTCTGCTCCCGCTGCTGCTCCCACTCCTGTTGCCATTTCCTGCCACGGCTCCACTTTCCCTTGACCCATCACAGTGTGAGGGAAGCAGTGCTGCTGGGGTCGGTGACAGTGACAGTAACGCCAACTATAGCACCAGCAGTAGCACCTTGCATCATGACAGCGAAGCAGTGGAGGAAGTGGGGGATAATGAGGAGGAGGAGGGTAAGGAGGAGGGTGTGGAGGATAAGGAGGACGGAGAGGAGGGGGATGAGGATGAGGGTGTGATAGCACAGCGAGTGTGGAGGGAGGCGAAGGCCCTTGCGAGCTACACCGAGCGTGCAGCAGCGGTAGAGGCATTCAACGCAGCACACGTGTGGCGCAAGCGGGGCCTGGCCATGGCGCCCGCACTCTACCATGTGCCGCTGCTCGCCAAGCCCGCTCGCGTGACGGTGTTTGGCGACGGGTCGGTGGTGGTGGAGGCGGGTGGTGTAGAGATGGGGCAGGGGCTCTCCACCAAGCTGCGCCAGGCCGCTGCCCTCGGCCTCAACGCCCTCTGGGGCACCCCTGCTACCGGCATAACAGACGCTGGCAGGGGCTGTGGCAATGGGACTGCCAGCGGCAGCTGCAGCAGCAGTGGCAGCCGCGGTGGCAGCAGCAGTGGCAGTAGCAGCAGCAGTGGAGGTGGCAGCAGAAGCAGCAACATATGGGAGCGGTGTGGGGTGGACGTGAGTTGCATCAGAGTGGTGGAGAAGGACAGCCTGTCAATGGGCAATGCAGGCATGACGGCTGCCAGCTCCTCCTCTGAAGCCTCCTATGCCGCCGTGCTGCTCGCCTGCCAACAGCTGCTGCCCACCCTGCTCACCGCCAAAGCTGCAGTTGAGCAGGCCAAGGCGCGCCGGCGGGTGAGGGGGTAGAGCGGGCTCTTGGCAGGGGAGTCAGGAGTGGAAGAGGGTGACGTGGCAGTGGAGGGGGGTGACGTGGCGAGGTGGGAGGAGGTGGCAGCACAAGCCAAGGCCATGGAGGTGACGCTCTCTGTGCAGGCGCGCTTCACCCCGGACCCCTCGCACGCCTCCTACTTCACCTTTGGTGCCGCCGTCTCAGAGGTACGTCTGTGAATGACGGTACGCAATCAAGCAAAGCATGCATGCAGAAATCTTTCCTGCTGCCATCTCATGCCGGCTATGTGCCATCTCATGCCGGCTATGTGCCAAAATCCCCCTTCTTCTCATCCTCTCATTCCTGCCCTTCCTGCCTCTCCCTGCTCCCCACCCTCTCATACCCTCTGCAATGGCACAATGGTGGGGCAGGTGGAGGTGGATGTGTTGACAGGGGCAGTGGAGGTGCAGCGTGCTGACACACACTATGACTTTGCGTGCAGCCTCAACCCGGCTGTCGACATCGGGCAGACACATGCATGTGCACGCCATGTGCATGCAAGTTTGCATCCATCCACACGCACCCCTCTATCCTTTCAGCAACCGGTCCGTCCCCATACATCGTGTTTCTTGTTGCAGTTTCTTCCCTCTTAGCTGCCATCTCTTTGCACCCATGTCCGCCCACCAACTATGCTGATCCACTGCTTTATCTCCCTCGCTCTCTCCCTCCCCCTCTTTCTCGTCCTCCTTCCCCATTCCTTGCCCCGTCGCCAGGTGGAGGGGGCGTTCGTGCAGGGGCAGGGCTTCTTCACCACGGAAGAGGTGCTGGTGGAAGAAGCTACCGGGAAGCTGCTCTCGGATGGCACGTGGGCGTACAAGGTTCCATCATTCGACACCGTGCCCCGCCATCTCCACGTCTCCCTCCTGCATGGCACAGCCAACAAGCAAGGCGTGCTCTCCTCCAAATGTGACCCCCACCTTCCTGTTGGAAACAAGTAACTTAACGCTTCCTACTGTATGTGTCGTAACATCGAACCGTAAACGAGGCAAGCTACAGCGAAGCAATGGCGAGTCAACCGAGGAGGTTGACAGAAAAGTAACAGCTGGAGGTTACGCGAAGGTCAAAGGTCAGCGACCTTTGACTCGACAAATACAGTGCGACAGCAAGGACAAACAACTGACTCGATATTGAGCAGTTGCCCGAGTCGACACTGTATCGAACCGCAACAGCAACAGCAAAACGGTTATTGCATCCTTTCATATTCCTTGTAATATTATAAAAGCTTGTATTACCTCTTTATAATTAATCTATCTTGTTCTCACATACTAGTGCAAGGTGGTTCAACAACTTATCATTAAACGCTTCCACAATACAACATTTCTATCAGAGTCTTAGCCTTGAAAGATCCTAAGGGCTTTTCTCAGCCCAACATGGTATGAGAGCAGACAAGGCAAGATTCAACTTTGTTCAAACTCCTACGACATCAGAAGACATGGCAACACAGAAAGAGAGAAGCTCCTCTAATGGATCTCCTGGCACTACCCCTACTCCACCTCCAGCCTCTGGCCTACAGACAAAAGGAGGCACAGCAACAAGACCAGCTGCCGAGACTACTGAAACTCCTGCGAACCAGGCATCGGGTTTTGACCCAAACATGATGGAGAAGTTCTTCTCCTTAATGTCCTTCTACGAGCAGCACCAGCAAACAGCACCTGCGCAATCAAACAACAGCGACAACAACAATGGCGTTACTCCAATGAGCCTTGACAGCTCATCCTATGCGCGCGGGAATCAACAGCAACCTACCTTCGCTCCGTACGAGCCTCAACGCGGCTCCATCAGCTTCACGCCACACCAGCAGCCTTCACCTGGACAAGAAAAGACACTGGATGCACTTCAGGTTCAATCGCAGTTTGCACACGTTTTGAAACTGCAGACATCGACACCCTTTGACGGAAAGGACTTCTATAACTGGTCATTCGAGTTTGAGCTGATGATGGAGGGCGCGCAGATTCTCGGATTCTTCGACGGATCCCTGCCATACCCAACACACGGGACGCAGTACGACAAGCAACAGTACACGTATCAGTCACTGATGGCGTATACAATTCTTCTGCGAAACATAACGCCGAATGAGCAGCAGAACATCCGGTCTTATCGTGGATACGGCAACTCCGCCGAGCTCGCGTACAACCACCTGAAGAGCCTGTATCAAGCAACACACAGTGTTAATCAAAGTCGTCTCATGGCACAGCTGACAACAGTGGAAATGAAACCCGGCGAAAAGGGGATGGCGTATATCAGCCGTTGTCGTGGACTGCGCGACAGACTCCTTCGATGCGGAGGATCGATATCCGAATAAGCCTTCGTGACAGTTGTCATCACTGGCCTCGGTCCTCATTGGCGCTCCACTCGAGCTATCCTCCGAGCTCACAGGAAGATCTCCGAAGCAGCACTCTGCGCCGAAATCCACACCGAGCAGCAGGACATGGACCTGCACGAAGAACGACACAAGAAAAAGGCGTCGGTACCTGAGTTCGCGTTCCACACTCAACGACGTTACAACAACACCGGATCACCACCATACTACTCACCAGAAGAACAGCTCGACGAAAGCATCCCTCGCCGCGAATCACTGGAGCCCAACCCGACGTACGCAGCCATCGCCCAGAGCGAACCGTTCGGGAAAGACACCTGGTTCTTGGACAGCTGCTGCGGACAGCACATGTGCTCCTCGGGTCGCTTCGTTCAACGGGAACACCAACTGCAGCGTGAAGTCGTCATCACCGTCGCCAACAATCAAAACCTGCGCACACAACGACAAGGGGTAGTTCAGCTTCAGTCGCGAGAAACCAACGTTATCCTACAAATGTCGAAAGTCTTAATTGCAGAAGGACTCGGCTACAACTTACTGAGCGTCATTCAACTCATGGCGAAGGGAATCCATCTTGAAGCAGACAGCACCACCCAGGAGTTCAAACTGTACAACGGGAGAGGCGGACTGTACATCGGAAAGGCCATATTGAAGAATAATGCCTTCGTCCTCGACTTTGTTCCAGATCAAGGCACCGCCGACAGCGACGGAATCGTCAACTTCACTTCCTGGACACACCCACCGGATCTCGACCCCGACTTCAGTCCCGGCGGCTTCTGGTACTCGAACACCATACCTGAACCAGAACGGACGAGAGCATTAGCAACAATCCAGACAACACCGGCAGCAGCAGAGACAACACCGGCAGCAGCAGAGACAACACCGACAGCAGCAGAGACAACACCGACAGCAGCAAAGACAACACCGGCAGCAGCAGAGACAACACCGGCAGCAGCAGAGACAACATCGGCAGCAGCAGAGACAACACAAGCACCAATCGCTGGTCCTTCAACAGCACCGGCCTTCATCGACGACACACCACCGACTCCTGCGCAACAGCTGATTCCCACTCCACGGGAAGTCCACAGAAGCGCAAACTTCACCGCAGGTTTTTATTCCAACTCTGACCTGTACAGGCGTTCACCCGGGCATCGTGCTGGCGAAGATATCTGGCATGCAAGAATGGGACACCCGAGCAATACAACGTTAAACAACACGATAAGAGCAGGAGTACTTGACAAAGACTCGCTACTCCTACCCGACGGCAGAGAACTTCAACGAGTTCGAGGAACGTGCTTTACCTGCCCTGAAGCCGACTTACCTCATCAGCCGTTCGTCTCTCACCACAACCCAAGCGCGCCGGCATACGCACCACTGGAGAAGGTCTACAGCGACATACTGTTCAACCGTGAAAATGGACAAGGAGCGTACAACTACGCCATCACGTTCATCGACGCCGCCACCCGTTACGTCTGGCACCTCAACCTTCCGAGCCGCGACATGGCCTTCGAAGCCTTCGTCGCCTGGCTTCCAGTAGCAGAACGAGAATCAGGAGTGGAGCTGAAAAGCTTCCAGTCAGATGGGGGAGGAGAATATCAGTCACAGAGGTTCAAGCAGTACTTGGCAGAGCGAGGCATCAAGCGACTCATCTCTCTTCCCTACGCTCATCAACAGCAAGGCGTGGCAGAAAGAATGAACAAGACCCTCCAGAACACCATGCGAAAGCTGCTACGTGGCATGCGGCTACCCAACCACCAGTGGCCCGAGGCGATGGACCACGCTGTCATGCTGCACACCTTGCTCTCGTCATCATCGCTCCCGAACAACGCATCACCGCATCTGCTGTGGACAGGAAAATTGGGCAACACAAAAATGTTACGAGTGTTCGGCTGCATGGTACAGTACCGACCCCCAGCTGCACGCGCCGGTCGATTTTCCCAACGCGCACAATGGGGACTACACCTGGGCATTGAAAAACACTGCAACGCGTGGAAGATTTTCGACGTCCACACAAAGGAAACAGTGGCAGCACGTGACGTAATCTTCTACGAACGTCTCACACTTCCAACGTACCTGTACAACTTGGAAACTTCACGCGACGTCACATGCGGATTTCGTGGGGACCGAGCCTTCGCCTCGGCAGCAGATGAAGCTGACTGGGACGAGCAAAACGTGGACAGAGCTTCGGAAGAAGCCGGACCTCTTCCCTACTGCTCGGTGGATATTCCAATGGACGACGACAACCCTCGCAAAAGCATCAACGCCGAAGTCTTCTACGACTTCGCTGACCACGGTTACGTTACACATCATCCGGTCGACACCAACATTTCCGAACGCGTAGGGCCCAATTCCCTACCTGATCCAGAAGCGGGAGACGAAGCAGCTTATCCATAGGATCCAACACTCCCCCGCTACACACAGAGTGGGCTGCCGATACTGGGACTCGTCACCGCCGTCCACAGAACAGCGCCGCCAAAGGAGCCTGCAACGGTTCAGCAGGCTCTGGGGGGGGAGCACAAGGAAAAATGGCGCGAAGCCATGGACAGGGAATTAAAAGCACTGGAAGAACGCAACACCTGGAAGGTCGTACCCATCGGAGTGGCACGCAACAAGATGATACTCACCGGGAAGTGGGTTTTCCGCGTGAAAACAAAGGCAGACGGAACCATCGACAAGTTCAAAGCACGATGGGTCGTGCGTGGCTTCGATCAAGAGCACGGACGAGACTTCACCGAAACCTTCGCACCAGTTAGCCGACACACCTCACTGCGGATTCTCCTCGCGATAGCCGCTATGAAGCAGAAGAAGCTCCGCCAAATCGACGTCGCCAACGCCTTCCTCTACGCCCCTGTCGATGCTGAAATCTTCGTCGAACAACCACATGGGTCTAATGCAGACCCTAACCAAGTCTGTCAGCTGCAAAAATCCCTGTACGGAATCAAGCAGGCTCCGAGGCTGTGGCAACAGTACCTACACGCCCGACTAATCCGCATCGGATTCCGCCAACTACCGCACGACCAAGGCATGTACCGACTCACGAAAGGCACCGACTACATCCTGCTCATCGTCTACGTGGACGATCTGCTCTACATCAGCTCGACCGACGGCATCACGACCTGGTTTGAAGGGGAGCTGCAGCAGGATCTCACACTCACCGTCTCCTCCACTGTAACACAGTATCTCGGGCTCAACATACAGGAAGGAGAGAACGCGATCTACCTCAGCACCGCGAAATACGCCGACACCATCGCCAAGCGCTTCGGACTTACCACAGCCGCTATCTCTATGCCCTACCGCTACACCGCCGGAAATCACAAGGAAACAACAGCTTCGCTCAAACCCTCCGGCGTACGCGACTATCAACTAAAGCTGGAATGCCTGCTCTTCGCAGCCGTCACCTGCCGGCCGGACCTATCATACTCAGCGAGCCAACTCGCTACCTACCTCAAGAAGCCTGAAGCATAACACATGGCGGAGCTCGACCGCGCACTTCACTACCTCGTCAGCACCCCGACAATCGGCCTGACCTACTACAAAACCGAAACCACAACGCCCAAACTAATCGGCTACGTGGATGCCGACCACGCCGGCGACTCCGACAACAGGCGTTCGCGTACCGGCTACATCTACCAACTCGAGCCTATCGGACCTATCTCGTGGCAGTCGAGCAAACAGGAACTAATCGCCCTCTCCTCAGCTGAAGCGAAGCTGGCCCAGTTACCCAGCTTCTCTGTGTTCTGCGACAACCAATCTGCAATTCGCATAGCGAACAAGAACGGGTTCGCGAACCGGACGAAGCATATTGCTCTGCGATACTTCTTCGTGAAAGACGAGATCGAGAAAGGGAGACTTGAGCTATCCTACTGCCCCACGTCCGAGATGGCAGCCGATTATTTGACCAAGAAACTCGGAAAGCAGAAATTCGAGTACTGCATGTTGCTGACTGGACAAGGGCACGTCACCAGCAACGACACTCCGGAAGCGAAGGGGAGTGTTGGAAACAAGTAACTTAACGCTTCCTATGTGTCGTAACATCGAACCGTAAACGAGGCAAGCTACAGCGAAGCAGTGGCGAGTCAACCGAGGAGGTTGACAGAAAAGTAACAGCTGGAGGTTACGCGAAGGTCAAAGGTCAGCAAACTTTGACTCGACAAATACAGCGCGACAGCAAGGACAAACAACTGACTCGATATTGAGCAGTTGCCCGAGTCGTCACTGTATCGAACCGCAACAGCAACAGCAAAACGGTTATTGCATCTTTTCATATTCCTTGTAATCTTATAGAGGCTTGTATTACCTCTTTACAATTAATCTATCTTGTTCTGACATACTAGTGCAAGGTGGTTCAACAACTTATCATTAAACGCTTCCGCAATACAACATTTCTATCAGAGTCGTAGCCTTGAAAGATCTTAAGGGCTTTTCTCAGCCCAACACTTCCCTCTCATTGCCCTCATCCACTCCCTTTGCTCTCCACCCTCTCGCTTCTGCTTCTTGTCAGAATGTTATATTTCTCTAGTCTGCAGTGGGGTACTCTATAGTGAGTACAGCCCTGTTAGGGTTTACTATATGTATCCCAATGTTTGCTAGTGAAACTTCTCTTCTGCTGTTCTGATTTCTGCTTGCTATCTTGACATGCTATCAGAGCGAGTACGCTCCTGGCCTGTGGGCCCACCTGCTTCCGCTGCTGTCCTGTCTGTCGTGCGCCCCGTGGCGCGCGACGTTTTTTCTTCCCGCCACGCGCTCGGGGCGCATGACGGTTTTCTGCCCGCCGCGCGCTCGGGGCGCGCGGCGGTTTACTGCCTCGCGCGTCACCCTGGGGACCCGCGCGTCCCCCCCCCGTCGACCGTCGCGCCGCCCCCGGGGACCCGCGCGTCCCTCCCCGTCGACCGTCGCGTCACCCCGGGGACCCGCGCGTCCCCCCTGTCGACCGTCGCGCCGCCCCCGGGGACCCGCGCGTCCCCCCCCGTCGACCGTCGCGTCGCCCCTCGGGACCCGCGCGCGCCCCCCGCGATCCCGTCGCATCGCCCTGGGGACCCGCGCGTGGCCCCCGCCATCCCGTCGCGCCGCCCTGGGGACCCGCGCGCGCCCCCTGCGCTCCCGTCGCGCCGCCCTGTGGACCCGCGCGCGCCCCCTGTGCTCCCATTGCGCCGCCCCGTGCCCCCGTGCGCCGCGAGGCTTCTTCCTCCCCGCGGGTGGCAAGTGTGGGGGTGGCGAGTATGGGGGTGACGGGTGTGTGAGCCGTCCCCTGCTCCTCCTCCTCCTCCGTCTCCCACTGCTGCAGCTGCCGCTGAGGGGGGTGGGTGTGTGGGAGCCGAGGGAGTGGCGCTAGGGGGGTGTCGTGGGAGTGAAGCTAGGGGTGCAGCGAAGGGTGTGTGAAAGGGGTGTGGGACAGTTGGGGGAGGTTGAACGGAGGTAGCCGTCGTGACGTCAGCAGCGCCAGTAGTCCGGGGTCACCCTTGCTCCGGTAGCCCAGCGAGCCTGCTGCGCCAGTCGCCCATGGGTCCGTTGCTCCAGCCGCTCGTCTTAGCCGCGGAGCCAGTGACTCCAGTAGTCCGGATACCCTTGCTTGTGTCCGGTAGCCACCGTGCGCGCCGCTCCTGTTGCCCGTGTGTCTGCAGCTTCACCCGTCGCCTCCTATCTCCAATCCTCTCACAGTCCCTCCTCCTCCTCACTTGCCCTCTGTGACTGTCTCTAGCTTTACTTGTGCTTGTGAACTTATTATGCGACTGCATGCTGTGCTGATTATACCCCACTTTGACTATGGGGGTGTGTTAGAATGTTATATTTCTCTAGTCTGCAGTGGGGTACTCTATAGTGAGTACAGCCTTGTTAGGGTTTGCTATATGTATCCCAATGTTTGCTAGTGAAACTTCTCTTCTGCTGTTCGGATTCCTGCTTGCTATCTTGACACTTCTCCGCCGTTCACTCCGCTCTACAGCCCTCTCTTGTTACTGCATAGCATAATTTTCCAAGCCTTGATGCATCAAACAGTCATCCCTACCATTGTATTGCACCTACCTATGAGGATCCTGAGTACCATCAAATCTCAACACACAAGGCAAGAAACACGCTCCGACACCTTACCCCACTCTTCCCCCCCCCCCCCCCCCCCCCCCCCCCCCCCCCCCATCAGCATCTGGCGAGCCCCCGCTGCTGCTCGCTGTCTCCGTCCACTCCGCCATCCACCACGCCATTGCCGCTGCTCGCCGCCAGTTCGCCCATTCAAGCACGCAAGCAGGCCGTAGGGGCGGGGCCGAAGGGGACAGGTTTGTGCGGCTGGACTCGCCCGCCACCATGCATGTGGTGCAGTGTGCATGCGGGTCGCACCTGGTGGAGGCGCATCCGGAGTAGCAGCTCGCTGCTGCTGCTCTGCTGCCGCCGCCAGCCCTGATGCTTAAATCGGTGTAGCTGATGCCTTCCGGAATTGTTAGGTCAGCAGTTAACTGTTCTATCTGGTTCCCGCCTACTCTAAGGCTCGTCTCTGTTACGAACAGGAATGCCGAATGTATTTCATTTTGTTGGGCTGAGAAAAAGCCCTTAGGATCGTTTCAAGGCTAAGACCCTGTGTAGGAATGTTGTAATAGCGGAAGAGTTCTTTAGTGAACTATTGAACCACCTTGCACTGGTGTGTGAGAGCAAGCGTTTGATTATAGCAAAGTAATACAGGGCTTTTATATTATTACAAGGGATATGAAAGGATGCAGATAACTGTTGCTGTAGCTGTTGCGGTTCGATATAGCGACGGCTCGGGCAACTGCTCAATGTCGAGTCAGTTGTGTGTCCTTGCTGCCGTGCTGTCCTTTTGTCAAGTCAAGGGTCGGCGACCTTTGACCTTCGCGTAACCTCCAGCTGTTGTTTTTTGTCAACCTCCTCGGTTGACTCGCCGCTACTTCGCTGTAGTTCATCTCGTTTGTAGTTCCGTGTTTCGACACAACAGAAGCGTTAATTAATTGTTTCCAACACTCCCCTTCGCTTCTGGAGTGTCCTCGCTGGTGACGTGGCCTTGTCCAGTCAGCAGCATGCAGTATTCGAACTTCTGCTTTCCGAGTTTCTTGGTCAAATAATCAGCTGCCATTTCGGATGTGGGACAGTAGGACAGTTCGAGTCTCCCCTTCTCGATCTCGTCCTTCACGAAGAAATATCGAAGGGCGATGTGCTTCGTTCGATTCGCGAACCCGTTTTTGTTCGCTATGCGAATGGCCGATTGATTGTCGCAGAACAGGGAGAAGCTGGGTAACTGAGCCAGCATCGCTTCTTCCAGTAGTTCGCGAAGGTACAAACCTTCCTTGGTGGCTGAGCAGAGTGCGATATATTCTGCTTCAGCTGAGGAGAGGGCGATTAGTTCCTGTTTGCTCGACTGCCACGAGATGGGTCCGATAGGCTCGAGTCGGTAGATGTAGCCGGTGCGCGATCGCCTGTTGTCGGAGTCGCCAGCGTGATCAGCATCTACGTAGCTGATTAGCTTGGGTGCCGTGGTTCCGGTTTTGTGGTAGGTTAGCCCGACTGTTGGAGTACTGGCGAGATAGTGAAGAGCACGGTCGAGCTCCGCCATATGATCTGCTTCGGGTTTCTTGAGGTAGGTGGCGAGTTGGCTCGCTGAGTACGATAGGTCCGGTCGGCAGGTAACGGCTGCGAAGAGCAGACAGCCTAGCTTTCGTTGGTAGTAGCTTTGAGCAGAGCGGAGGTTTCCTTGTAACTTCCGTCGGTGTAGCGGTAGGGCGTAGAGATAGTGGCTGGGGTAAGTCCGAAGCGCTTGGCGATGGTGTCAGCGTATTTCGCGGCGCTGAGGTAGATCGCGTTCTTTCCTTCTTGTATGTTGAGTCCGAGATACTGTGTTACGATGGAGGAGACGGTGGGTGTGAGATCCTGCTGCAGCTCCCCTTCGAACCAGGTTGTGATGCCGTCGGTCGAGCCGATGTAGAGTAGATCGTCCACGTAGACGATGAGCAGGATGTAGTCGGTGCCTTTCGTGAGTCGGTACATGCCTTGGTCGTGCGGCAGTTGCTTGAAGCCGATGCGGATGAGCCGGGCGTGTAGGTACTGCTGCCACAGCCTCGGAGCTTGCTTGATACCGTACAGGGACTTTAGTAGCTGGCAGACTTGGTTGGGGTCTGCGTTGGAGCCGTGTGGTTGCTCGACGAAGATCTCAGCATCGACAGGTGCGTAGAGAAAGGCGTTGGCGACGTCGATTTGACGAAGTTTCTTCCGCTTCATGGCGGCTATCGCGAGGAGAATCCGCAGCGAGGTGTGTCGGCTGACCGGCGCGAATGTTTCGGTGAAGTCTCGTCCTTGCTCTTGGTCGAAGCCACGTACGACCCAGCGCGCTTTAAACTTGTAGATGGTTCCATCTGCCTTTGTTTTCACGCGGAAAACCCATTTCCCGGTGAGAATTGTCTTATTGTGTGCCACTCCGATGGGTACGACCTTCCAAGTGTTGCGTTCTTCCAGCGCCTTTAATTCCCTGTCCATGGCCTCGCGCCATTTTTCTTGTGCTCCCCCCCTAGAGCCTGCTGAACTGTGGCAGGCTCCTTTGGTGGCGCTGCTCCGTGAACGGCGGTGACGAGTCCAAGGATCTGCAGTCCGCTCTGTGTGTATCGGGGGAGAGTTGTGTCCTCGGGATAAACTGCTTCGTCTCCCGCTTCTGGATCTGGTATGAAATTTGGTCCTACGCGTTCTGCTTCGTCGGTGTTGACTCGTGCGGGAGTAACGTAACCGTTGTCAGCGAAGTCGTAGAAGACTTCGGCGTTGATGCTTTCGCGAGGGTTATCGTCGTCCATTGGAATGTCCACCGAGCAGTAGGGAAGAGGTCCGGCTTCTTCCAAAGCTCTGTCCACGTTCTGCTCGTCCAAGTCAGCTTCATCTGCTGCCAAGGCGAAGGCTCGGTCCCCACGAAGTCCGCCTGTGACGTCGCGTGAAGTTTCCAAGTTGTACAGGTACGTTGGAAGTGTGAGCCGTTCGTAGAAGATTACGTCGCGTGCTGCCACTGTTTCCTTTGTGTGGACGTCGAAAATCTTCCACGCGTTGTAGTGTTTTTCAATGCCCAGGTGTAGTCCCCATTGTGCGCGTTGGGAAAATCGACCGGCGCGTGCAGCTGGGGGTCGGAACTGTACCATGCAGCCGAACACTCGTAACATTTTTGTGTTGCCCAATTTTCCTGTCCACAGCAGATGTGGTGATGCGTTGTTCGGGAGCGATGATGACGAGAGCAAGTTGTGCAGCATGACAGCGTGGTCCATCGCCTCGGGCCACTGGTGGTTGGGTAGCCGCATGCCACGTAACAGCTTGCGCATGGTGTTCTGGAGGGTCCTGTTCATTCTTTCTGCCACGCCTTGCTGTTGATGAGCGTAGGGAAGAGAGATGAGTCGCTTGATGCCTCGCTCTGCCAAGTACTGCTTGAACCTCTGTGACTGATATTCTCCGCCCCCGTCTGACTGGAAGCTTTTCAGCTTCACTCCTGATTCTCGTTCTGCTACTGGAAGCCAGGCGACGAAAGCTTCGAAGGCCATGTCGCGGCTCGGAAGGTTGAGGTGCCAGACGTAACGGGTGGCGGCGTCGATGAACGTGATGACGTAGTTGTACGCTCCTTGTCCATTTTCACGGTTGAATAGTATGTCGCTGTAGACCTTTTCCAGTGGTGCGTATGTCGGCGCGCTTGGGTTGTGGTGAGAGACGAATGGCTGATGAGGTAAGTCGGCTTCAGGGCAGGTAAAGCACGTTCCTCAAACTCGTTGAAGTTCTCTGCCGTCGGGTAGGAGTAGCGAGTCTTTGTCAAGTACTCCTGCTCTTATCGTGTTGTTTAACGTTGTGTTGCTCGGGTGTCCCATCCTTGCATGCCAGATGTCTTCACCAGCACGATGTCCAGGTGATCGCCTGTACAGGTCAGAGTTGGAATAAAACCCTGCGGTGAAGTTTCTGCTTCTGTGGACTTCTCGTGGAGTGGGAGTCAGCTGTTGCGCAGGAGTCGGTGGTGTGTCGTCGATGAAGGCCGGTGCTGTTGAAGGACCAGCGATTGGTGCTTGTGGTGTCTTTGCTGCTGCTGATGTTGTCTCTGCTGCTACCGATGTTGGCTCTGCTGCTGCCGATGTTGTCTCTGCTGCTGCCGATGTTGTCTCTGCTGCTGCCGATGTTTGTTGAATTGTCACTAACGCTCTCGTTCGTTCTGCTTCAGGTATGGTGTGTGAGTACCAGAAGCCTCCAGGACTGAAGTCGGGGTCGAGATCTGGCGGGTGTGTCCAAGAGGTGAAGTTGACGATGGCGTCGGTGTCGGCGGTGCCTTGATCTGGAACAAAGTCGAGGACGAAGACGTTGTTCTTCAGTACTGCCTTTCCGATGTATAGTCCGCCTCTTCCGTGGTACAGTTTGAACTCCTGAGTGGTGCTGTCTGCTTCGAGGTGAATACCCTTCGCCATGAGTTGACTGACACTGAGTAAGTTGTACCCGAGTCCCTCGGCGATTAAAACCTTCGACATTTGTAGTACGACATTGGTCTCCCTTGACTGAAGTTGAACGATGCCTTGTCGTCGTGTGCGCAGGTTCTGATTGTTGGCGACGGTGATGACGACTTCACGCTGGAGTTGGTGTTCCCGTTGAACGAAGCGACCCGAGGAGCACATGTGCTGTCCGTAGCAACTGTCCAAGAACCAGGTGTCTTTCCCGGACGGTTCGCTCTGGGCGATGGCTGCGTACGTCGGGTTGGGTTCCATTGATTCGCGGCGAGGGATGCTTTCATCGAGCTGTTCTTCTGGTGAGTAGTATGGTGGTGATCCGGTGATGCAGGATTCTGTTGTTCTTGCCATGCAGCTTACGATGTTTCGTGCGCCTTGTGCAGGTTTTGATGCCATTGAGGACTGTACTTGACTGGTGGGATGCGCTTGTGTAGAGGTGACTTGATTAGTTGAAGGCCGAAGTTGACGTTGCGGTGGCGTTGACTGCTGCTGATTTGGGCAGTGTGTGCGAGGGTGTCCTGACGTCTTGCAGAGATGGCAGAACGGCGGTACGTACTGTTGAGCCTGATGTTTGTTCTGTCGATTGTTGTTGTTGTAGCGCCGTTGAGTGTGAAACGCGAATTCTGGTGCTGACGCCGTTTTCTTGTGTCGTTCTTCGTGTAGGTCCATGTCCTGCTGTTCAGCGTGAATTTTGGCGCAGAGTGCCGCTTCGGAGATCTTCCCGTGAGCTCGGAGTATAGCTCGGGTGGAGCGCCAATGAGGACCGAGGCCAGTGATGACAGTCACGAAGGCTTCTTCGGATATCGATCCTCCGCATCGATGGAGTTGTCGCGCAGTCCACGACACCGGCTAATATACGCCATCCCCTTTTCCCCGGGTTTCATTTCTACTGTTGTCAGTTGTGCC